GATATATCCAATTTTACTAAATATGAAAAAAATTTTCCGGAAACACAACAAAATTTTTCGCAAAAAAATATTCCGGAAAATAACATAAATTCAAGTTTCGAAAAGTGCGCTTTGGGAAAAAAAAGGCAATCCTTAAAACATTTTTAACACAAAAAAGGACACTTTGCTCCCGGAAAAAGGGCACTTGGCAAAACTTGGGGGGCCTACCCCCCCCCCTGGCCCCCCATTTCCTACGCCCCTGCATTCGTCTCCCTGTAGGTCCAAGCCAATCTGGTCATTTTGAATGTTTTCACTGGGGTGATGGCCACTAGCCTTAGAGCAGAGGCGCCGACAAGGAGTCAGACTGCAATAAATGCACAACTAAATTATACTAAAATACTAAAAAAGTGGTGTAATTTTAAGTTTGCATTATCAACCTGCAAAGTTCCTGGCAACCTGCAAAATTCCAACCTGCAAAATCCCCAACCTGCAAAATTCCAACCTGCAAAATTCGCAACCTGCAAAATTCCAACCTGCAACCTGCGTTTTGTACCTGCCGGATATAGATAGATAGATATAGATAGATAGATATAGATAGATAGATAGATAGATATAGATATATAGATAGATAGATAGATATAGATATATAGATATATAGATATATAGATATATATATATATATATAGATATATAGATATATAGATATATAGATATATAGATATAGATATAGATATATAGATATAGATATAGATATATATAGATATATATAGATAGATATATAGATATATATATATAGATATATATATAGATAGATATAGATAGAAATAGATATATATAGATATATAGAGATATATAGATATAGATAGATATAGATAGATAGATATATAGATATATATATATATATATATATATATTATATATATATATATATATATATATATATAGATAGATAGATAGATAGATAGATAGATAGATAGATAGATAGTTAGATTGTTGGGTGGCATTTGGCACAACGGTTGTGCCAAAATGCCATGGCATTTGGCACATCTCCGTGGTATTTGGCACATTTGTGGCATTTGGTGCAATATTTATGGCATTTGGCACAATTTTGTTTGGCATTTAGCACAATATGGGTATTTGTCCAAATTTTGGTGTAATGGCATTTAGCACAATCGGTTGGTTGGCGATTTAGCACCGTGGCATTTGGCACAATCGGTTGTGTTTGCACATTTTCATGGAAGATCTATTTAAGTGTTTTATTTGCCGGATTTTTAACATTCAAATATTTGGGAAAATTGTATGCGTCACCAAAATTTTGTGATCAGGTATAATGACAATCAAGTTCCCTTATTTAAAAGTTTAGGAAAGAAGATCTCTATAACATTAATTCAAATAACGTAGTAGGAAAAATCCACAGCCAGCCGACAATTTGGGAAAATATAAAAATAAACAAATTCCAAAAAATAAAGTCATCTTGCAATTCATGATATGAATACAAACAAGGCAAACAATTGAAACTGTAAATTTTCGACTTTATTTCAAAGTCATTATCAGACAGAATGAAACATAATACTTTACTTACAGCATATATACAGAGCAAGAGAGCGAAGTAGGATATTACCTCCTTTTCCAATATATGTTAATTGTTAATTCTTTAATTTATGTAAGAATTATTGCATGCTTAGCATGTCATGATTAGCGTTGACGATGATTATAAACTATAACGACACACTTTGCAATCACGTCAATAGCTTAGTTTTCTATTAGAACATGTTTTGCTTGAAATGTTTCAGCTAGCAAAATAGTGAAAGTTCATGGCCGCCGAAATTTTTTCACACTGGCTCTATAAACAAGTTGTGGTGATAATTTCAATTTTTATAACTGACGGTAAAATAGGACTAGCTCTTAAATATGTAAACAGAAACTCCTAATGACTTATAGCTAAGTGATATTCGAAATGATATAATATTTTAAAGCTGCTGAAAGCGAAGTATAGTAAAAATTTTGTTAGCGGCAATCCTGGTCTGTAATTCAGCTACCTGAAAAATGCAAGAAAATCTTTGACGTTTTGAGCAAAGGCTTGTTTATAGGGCTTTATAATCAAATATTTGCTTGTACTTTTAAGTTAATTGAGTTACAGACCAAGACAGCTGTTGATAATTGTTATCACTATCTACAGTTGCCTTTTTAGTTAAAAATATTATTGCCAAGCAAGTAATTTTATTTGGAAAAAACTGTGAAAATTGTCACGATTTGGCTTGTGATGTGTCGAAATATTACTGAATATTTCTCTTAAAAATCATTTTAATGATTTATTATGTTTTTCTTCGAAAAGTGCTTGCTGGGCAATAATATCGAAACCGATACAAAACTCTTGAAATGGAAAATACGATATCTGTTAAATAATACTACTTTAAACATCTATTCTACTTTTTATCCTTACTCTTTTTGTCTGCCTTTGCGCACTTTTTTACTTTAGCACTTAATTGTATTTTGCTATATTTTTGTGTCATCTTTAATTTTTGACATTCTTTGTCCTTTTCGACGCAGTCCCAAACGGCATCTACATCAATTTTGCGGTTTTCCTTTTGAAGGGATTTTGTGGCATTCAGGAGGGCATTCAGGAGGGCATTCACTTCTTTTGGCCAGAAAAAGATTTTCTTTGGTTTTGGACTTTTTTTCGGGCTAATTTGCTTTTGCAATCCTAAAATATAATAAAAATATAAATATATTTTTTAACTGTTGGATGTCTTCACCATTGGGAACTGACGTTTTTACTAGGTGTAACTTAGTAGGTGAATGAGAATCTCCTATATCTGATATAAGGTGTGAAAATTTGAAAACGAATGTAATTTTCTCAAAATTTATAAAATGAATGATAGATAATAGAATAATAAGAGGCGGGAGAGTGTTGCCTGGATATTTGAAGAGAGTTAACGTTTAAAAATATTTAGGAAACAGTTGTTCATGAAAGTCAGTCTGTCAGAAATGTAAATATAGGCCAGACTTCTAACGAACCACCTAAACCGCTATTGAATATCAGTACATTTTATATATTATCATATGCAAGTTATTATATATATGACCGAAGTGTTTCAATAAAAATATTCATTTTTTAACGTTTACTGTTGTTAGGAATATATATATATATATATATTTTATTGAACAACATATTAACAAAAACAACATATTAAATAGCAACCACTTTTGTTTTGACGTGCTACAAATTCGTTTTTCAGAGACAAATATTTATTCATCAGGGAATGCAGATCTTTCGGCACATTTTGTGAAAGCGTTTGTCGAAATCAATTGGATGTTTTCCGCTACTCTTGCCGTTCTCGGTCGACCACTCTGTTCTTAGTCGAGATTGGAAAGTCGTTTTTCTTTCTTGGAACATTAGAATTTGATTCTCCAGGGATATTGAATATTTAGAGTAAGACTTTTAATCAAAACAACCTTATAAAATAATTCTCACGAATTTGCCAATAACTGTTTGATAACTTCAACTTCATCTCACTTCATTAAAACGAATACTTGAAACTGTTATCAATTAAATTAGATTAAGACACTTCTAAAAATGGTTGCTCAACTTTAAACGTGGGTATTTCTGTCAAAATTTCATAAAATGCACATGGTATATATTAGAATTTAAGTTAGACATTACTGAATGCAATACATCTTGTTTAAGGATAGTTTTTAAGTTATACATTTATACAAGAGAAACTTGATTGATGTTTGAAATATTACTCACGTTTTCTGAAACCACGCCCAAGAGGCTTTTCTGGAGATACTTTTCTTCTCTCAACATACTTCCATGATCCTTGTGTTTTTCTTCTCTTTGGGGACCCTGCAATCGCAAAAGCAAATGTCACTATATACTACCAAGGAACTAAATATTTTTTATCATTTCAAGAATTACGAATTGCAAATTCGGGAAGAAGCTAGCAGTGCAGCTTAGTATAATTTTATTGTTCCAAAATTCAGCACGATGAAGTGATTTGGTTCTAAAACAATAAAGTCTTACCTTTTTGGGGGGTTGTTGGAGCAATGTGACGAAGAAAATTGGATGCTTTGGCACGACCTGAAAACGAGAAAATGTGTTGATAAGTACAGTAAATATTTGAGAATTAAGTGCAAGCAGTGAGAGCGGTAAGAACGTCAGTTGAATTACCACAATAGTTTGAATCTCGGCTATTTTACTATGCGAAAAGTCAAATGGTCCCATAATTTTTACTGCATGTTCCATTGAAATGATGGGACTATTTAACTATAAGGCTTGACAGCGAATTATTTCGAAGTGGAGAGCTGCAGCAAGACAACATCTTATACCTTTAACAGTATCCCTCATGGCGTAGTGTCCTTCTGCTGTTGAAGTAGAATGTGACATCTGTCGAGCAAGCTCGTCTTTTGATAGTCCACTCGAACCGCCAGAATCAGCAAGCTGCCGATGACGAGACACTGCTGATTTCCTGATTCGCTTCCCAGTAACATTTCCCTGAATAGATGGATCCAGTAATTTTGCAACTTTCGTGATTCTGTTGGAAATTTGGGACGAAGGGATAGGATTTCCATTTGTTGTCAAAAAGAAAAGTGGCTCCTTCTTGTTCTTTCGCTGTAAAAAGGAATGGTGATTGGCTACGGTTGGTCGGAGCTTCTCTAAGTAAATCCGAGCGCATTTGTAGGTACGGTTATCCCAGGATAGGCTTGCTGGTCCTGTACCTAAAACGGATTGTCAAAAATAGATTTTGTATTATAAAGTTGAAAGAGAACTGGGCTATCACATTAACACCCTGCACATGTTCAATTATGCATACATGTACCATTTCGTATAAAATAGTACTTTAAAACATGATTTTCTGTATGCAGAATACCAAAAAACAATCATTCATATTTCACGAAATTCACCGTACCTGCTGTCTTATGGCGCTTTGTTAAAGTGACAAACTGTTTAACCCCTGTGCTATCATCCCATTCTCCAGCGTTAAACTCGTCAATGGTCAAATTGCAAACGGCACCAGGTCGTTGAGCGCTCTGTACCAATAACATTGTCATCAAATAATCTCGGAGTTCAACAAACTCTGTGCCGGGATCATCTAGTTCTTCAAATCGATTCTCGTATTTTTCATGTTCAGGCGAATTGAATAAGTTCCAAATTTGGGTGCTTGTCAAAAGTAAACTAAAATCTTCACGATGAACTTCAGTTTTCCTATTCGCGATCTCTTCTGTGAAAGATTTCATCCAGTTGGACACCCTCCCTTGAAATTCTTTAACCAACTTAAAATCTGTTTCGTGAAATCCAAATTCATTTGCAAGACTTGAGGCGCGGGTTAACAAGAAATTGTAAAACGTTTGCAGGGCAGTGAGGTAGGCTCTTAAGGTACCTACTTTCCTGGGGTTTTTTAGTAACCTATTACCTTCAATAAATGTACGACGTATCTGTACCATGGCATCATCATTCCAAAGTAAACTGACATTGGTCAACGTCTCATCGACTTCATAAAGGAGTCTACCAACTCGCCACTGTGCTTCTTTTGATGGTTTTTCCCCCGACAGCCTCCTTCAACTGTCAGCAAATGATCTACAAATCGAGAAAGCAGTGGTTGGATTTCAATTGTTCGAGCAATAGCATTTCGCTCAATTTCTTTGGGTGCAGTTGGATCTTCCAAAAGCCCCGAGCTTGTTGGCGGAGGTTCATCGATTTCGTGCTCATCCGGTACAGAATGAGAAGCCTGAGGTAAAGAATGATCGGGCAGAGAATCGCCTGACGAGGAATGATCGGATGCATTGCGAGATAGTCTTAGCTGTCTTTTGGCTCTTGATTTCCTGGATATCCCCATCATTTTTGGATGCTCTTTCCTTGATTCTGTCTCTTCTTTAGCTGTTTCCCCAGCCAATGCATTGTACCTGAAATGAGAATTTATTTAATAACAATGGAAATATTGAAAACAAACAATGCTGTGAGAGAGTTGTATCATGTCAATCGCTCTTTCAACCAGCTACATAAAAGACGTACTTTTTGCCAATGTCCTTATACACTCACACATGCTACAGTTTCTGCTAAACCATATTATTATACATGAACATGATGCAATCTTGATTGTGATTGGCTAAGAACCTACAGACAATTCTCAATGTCTTGCCACCTACAACGACATTGAACATTGTCTGTAGGTGACGTCATTTTGAATGCATGGATTTCCTACAAAAATCTCCAAAAGCTTCTGTATTTATAATTGTATAGTCAAACAAATATTGAATTCGGCTTTCGCATGATATCAAGAATTATCCAGACCTTGGTAAATTTATCCGCTTCAGCCTTCGGCTTCAACATTGACGTCGGTCTGGATAATTGTTGATATCATGCTCAGCCTCATCCAATAATTGTTAAATGTTTCACATTTTGGTTTAGCAGAAACTGTTTCCTCAACATAATTGACAACGCAGTTTTAAGACATTCGCCACACTTGTTGTTGCACAATATACAGACAATCACAATGAGAAAAATAATCGAGAATGCATTCATTTAATTCATATGCAATCTTACAAAAATTCTTCTCAAAGATAATTATATGCTTGGCAGGAATTTTTTTTGAACGACATGCACAGCATTATATATATAACTTACTGTTTCACACTAACCGGATAAAACTAGGTGATCCAGGTACCAGTTTATGAACTGTTTTCAGATGCTTGTCAAGCCTCCGCACAGGTTTTTCGCAGGACTCAATTGGGCACACCACTTGGTCTAATTTTGTCTTTTCTTTTGTCCTTCGAATGCTTTGCGATAGGTTGAGTGCATCCTTGTGGGGCTTTTTGTGAAATCTTTCCAAGTGGCTTACCATGTTGCTTTTTTTTTCTCCACAGAGTGGGCATTCTCGTTTCACCTTGGCCTGCAAAAAATATAATACACTATTTTACGAGTATGCATAGTTTATGTTTGTCTTCAGATTTTAGTTATTTCTTTTCCATTCAGTTTTCACATGTAAGCAGCAAGTATGCAAAATATTTTTACAATTAATCAACATGTTGCTTTTGTTATATGGCAAGCATTTGTTTTGATGAATGGCGTGATGAATGAAAATTTCTTATCTGATTCTTGGTTCCATTCCAGTCAGTCAAAAATAGTTGTATTTTGAACATAGAGCTGCAAATTTTATTTGCAGATGGCCAGCACTTCCAGGAGGAATTTCACATAAAATTAATACCACTATAGCAGTCACAGATTTATAGTTTTATCTGAAAAAGTGTGTTTTTATTCATTTAAAAGGAGACATAAATATGAAATGAAGCGAACTAAAAATATACTTGTTGATGGTATTTATTTATTTTATTGTTCTCATATTTGTTGTGTTTGATTAAAATTACTAAATAGCTAGAGATTTTTCTTGAAATACTTCCAAAACGCTGTTAGCTTTCTCTAAAATGTGCTGTAGAGTTTATTTCACTATAACCAAGAGATAAGTTTCTTTTGTACTTTGCCCTCGCATGACTTTTTTCATTTTTTAACAATCGTATACAATGTCATGTAATAAAAAACTTGCTGTCTTCAACTGTTCGGGCAGTGCGGGGAAATATCAAACCTGGGTCTTGCTATATTGACCTAACTATTGCTCGGTCAAGATCTTGGTTTAATATTTTCCCGTACTGCCCTCACTCGCAGTCAGTAGGTTATTAATATTCCACATCAATATATTGTTCACCTGACATAAAATAGGAACATGTGAAAGTCAGATCGACGATCAAAGATAGAAGGCTCGTGCAAAATATCCTATTAGTTTATGATTTGGTTGACCAGAACGTTTTGATCTATTTTTTGAAAAATATTTGAAAATTACCCAAGCAGTTGCCTCACTTTGTGACAAAGAAGTCTATTTAAGGTGGCTCGATGCAGTTTTCAAAAACGTTAGGGGTCTAACAGTTTGACAGTGTTAAACGTTGTAGTTTTAGGTTTTATGCTGCAGATATCAAGATGTTCATCTATTTTGATGTTTCGTCTTTCAAATTATGTCAGTTTTGATAACACATAGTTTGTTGGTATGGCAACACACACGTACGAAATTCACTCTAAAGAAGCCTGTTGCTTTGTGTAGTTGGAAAAAAATCTCGGTGACCCCCAATTTTTTTCGTACACCATTTTACTCAGAATATACACCAACAATAAGCAAAATATAAAAAAATTTTGTCATGCCAGTTTTTTGAAAAATGCAAAAATGTGATTTTCCTCAATAAAAATATTTTGCCATGACAGAATTTTTATATTTTGCTTATTGTTAGTGTATGTTCTAAGTAAAATGATGCACAAAAAAAAATTGAGGGTCACCGAGCTTTTTTCCAACTACACAAAGCAATAGGCTTTTTTAGAGTGAATTTCGTACGCGTGTGTTGCCATAGCAACGAACTATGTGTTACCAAAACTGACATAATTTGAAAGACGAAACATCAACATAGATGAACGTCATGATATCTGTGGCATAAAACCTAAATATACGACGTTTAACACTGTCAAACTGTTAGACACATGAAGTTTTTGAAAACTGCATCGAGCCACCTTAAGTACAAAAGTTTGAATTCCTCTTGAATTTCAACCTCTTTTCCAACATCCGTTTCGTCGTTCTCACTTGGTGATTGGGACTCCGAAGCAACCTTTTTAGTTTCTTCGGCAACAAGTTCGGGCCTTTCTGTCTCATCATATTTCACCCACTGCTCAACAAAGCAAACATCAGGGACAGATAATTCCTCAACTACCATTTCCATTTGTTCCAAAATAATTTGGAGTTCGTCCTACAAAATAAAAATTACGATTTGACAATATGCCCGCGCTTTTTGAAATGTCTTCATGAAAATTCCTTTGCATGGTTTTGTCCATTGCATTGTAATTATGCCTCACTACAAACTAGAGCAATGTTATTATAACTGATGAATTGTACACGGTATGAATTTAATCAATAATATTGCCGATAGACTGCACAGGTATTAAACGTTATCACAAACTGTTTAATAATTAGCTGGCTGACTTTTCATACATACCGATCTCTCTACAGGAACAAACAACAACAAACTCATTTTCATAGTTTCATTGTCATCCAGAACAGAGTAAGTGGGGGCTACCCTTGGGTATGGAGGCGATGTTACCTGAAAAATATTTATATTTTGAATATTTTACTGATAAAAGCAATAATTTTAAAGCTTAAAGCTTAGAGAAAACAAATTATAGAAATATTTAACGTGTACCTCCTCAACAAGTTAGTTCATGGATCTTGGAAACTCGACTTTTTACATAGTCCAATCTACTTCTGGGAAAAGTGTAAATTTCAAGAGTGCGACACCACATGTCCTTATATTTGATCAATGCTGCAAATCCTTTGTAAAAGTTAGATCAACTGTGTGAATTTTCCGTTTGCTTTCTTAGTACAACAATATGTTGGGCTCATATTTATAGTCTGCATGTAGGAACCAAATCTTGTTGCTTGCACGTCATACATTTCCCGCAGAAATTTATTTCCCTTGACTCAAATTGAAGGCGAGTGATCGTTTCTTCCCATTTTTGTATCTGCGAAGCAGATATATATGCTATCGCAAACGTGCCGTACCGTACCGTATGTTAGCACGTAGCCATTCAGCGACGGGCTTCTATAATTTTAACCAATTTAAGCCAATCAGCGATTCGTTTACATCAATTGTTTACATCGTGCCCGCATCTAACCTGCGAACGAGCATACTTTAGCCTCGTCAGGCCTCGTGTATAAATCGTGTTTATATTCTTTCAAAAATATCTTGATCCCCGAGCCAGCGGCGCGAAGCGCCGTGCGAGGGTACTAATTCCCCCCGGCTATTTACACCCGGGAAACAAAAGCATTAGCGGAGTCTAAAGTTCATCAAATATCGCGGGCGTGGGTGACCAACCGTGGGTGGTCATCCTCACTGATCTCAAATATATGGCGGACTGTCATGAATAGTGGACACTGATTGGTCCAATTTAAAATTTGCATTATAACGACTGCATGACGACAGCGAAATAGCAAACATTTCTTGATTTGATGATTGATGAATTTTTTGCTCGCATTTTTGCAAGATTTTGTAAATTTCAAAAGTTTTCTCATAAAGAAAGGGCAAAGAATCGGCTAAAAGAAGGGAGCCGACGTTAACGAAGGTAAGTTTGTTTTAAATATTGATTTTATAATGGTTTAAAACCCGACGGCCTTTGCGTATATGAAACAACTAAATAAGACAGCATATAATTTCAGTGTATCTTTAATATTGATTCCCTTTTTTATTATATTGAATTTTTTAAATAAAAAAGAAAGCAAAGTTATTTGAAAGCGAGAATTTGAAATCATTTTATTGCAAACACAAAGTTTATCGATAAAGCCATTTAATTATAAAAGGCTGTTTAGTTTTATAAAGAACATTTTAAAACTTTTGCGAAGCGTTTGTGGTTGAATTTTATCTTAAATTGAAGCCTATATTACATATAATAACATACCTAACATATATATGTTGGGAAATTGATAACTTTGTAATTAAAAGTGATATTTTTAGGAGATTTGTAAGAATATTCTTAAAATAATAAAAATTATCGTGTTACCATGAAACTGCTTTAGATACTTCATGTTCGGAAAATACAATGGTTTTGTCAGCAAGGCGAGGGTTTCTGCATGCATGTATTTTCTAGTATTTTTATCAATTTATCTTGAATCTGCATTCTACTTGCGATATTATTCCGAGTTATTTATCAACATGGAATCTTATCCTCATCTGGTAAGTAGCCAAATACCACATATTATATATTTAAATACCAAATTTGTGCAAACATATGTCCCACATATTTTATATTAATACATGAGTTCGCCAGTTCGGCAAATATTTACTATACTATCTATAGACTAGTTAATATTGCCGTATCTTCGGCGTAGAGTTTACATGGAATGCACTCTGGAATTTTTTATTAATATAATACACTGTATAAAATATTGGATATTTTCGAGGATATTTTAAGCCATTTGTCAACATAGTTCGCAAAAAGATTTATACAGTATTAAAAACAATTCTTCTGTGACTTCTGTAATATTTTAAACAGTGAAAACATAGCAGGCAATATTGCCAGTTAACAATATCAAAGGAACCTATTGGACAGTTCTCAGGAGATATTGAATTAAATCCTGGTCCTGTATTTCTGTATATTGACTCCATAACTCTGTTCAAAACAACACTCCAACTACTGTATAAAGCTGTCATCAAATATAGTGTTAGAACAAAGGTTGAAGATGTTATCAGTTAAAATACTTATACATTTTGGTTTTACACATTAATTAAACAAAATTTTTACAAACATTTTCAATAAAAGAATCCTCACCCTCCCGAGCCTCATTACATTGTCATTTTGCTTTCTAACATAAATATTTTTCTTTAGAGATTAATACAAGAATGAAGAATAAATGTACTGGATATTGGCTGGATAATTTTGTCAGAACAACAAACTTGCAAGACAATCTTACCTAAATTCATTAGTATGGAAAATAATTTAACAGCTACAATGAGTAATCATATATTATATGGTGGATTTGATCAATGGCACACAATGTACAAAACTAAACTTGTGATACCTTCTACTCAAACCGATAATCTCCCCCAACACAATTGTTTTTGTGTGAATGTGCTGTACGTGTTAAACCGAACAGTGTGGTATATCATTAACTGTGCACAGAACTGGAATTTAATTATATACTTCACTCATGACCTTCAAAACATTTTCAAATATTCAGTGGTCTTCGACATGTTCACCAAATATTTTGTGTATGTTACTCAACAGTTAACATTGGCAAGTGTAAACAACAAGTGACATAACTTTTGCTTCATATGATTGCAATAAAGTTTTGAAAATTTGATGAGTATGAATTGAATTGAATTGAATTGACAGGTGACAGTTTACTAAATAGTAAAAATACTAGACACTTTGAATATTGTTTGCATGAAATTTTTATTTCCTGACTGCATAATTATTTGTTACAATCATGATCACATTATAAATTAAGTTTTCTCGGTGCGGGGGTGCGTAGCACTTGCTCTGCTGCACTCCCCCTGCTGCACTCCCCGCTGTGTACAGCCCTGTTTTAAATCTATCTGCCATTATAATAAGTGACGAAATATTTCAATTGTCCCATGTCATCTTCATTATTCAGTTTCTTTCAAGAAAATACAAAATGTGATCAAGTTTTTTCGCAGATACATGTACGCGTCGCGTACCTATTTTTTATTATTGTTGCTCTGAATCGTGCTGTATGAACGTCATGCTTACGTGCAAATTATGTAAATATTGGATTCTCACGTATATTTTTCGCGTCTTAGTCTAGAAGCTCTTTAAAATTTACAAAATTTCCGTTGAAACGTACACCCATGCATTCATGACTCATCATAGCGCTGTTTTGCTCTCTATCTAATAGTGTTGCGAATAGTGTGTACAAGCAGTGCAACTATTAGAGTTTAAATTAGGTCGAAATGTGAATAACTAGATAATCTTGTAGGAGAGCTGCTCCGCTAAATAGGTGGTGGGCAATAATTATTTATTATACGCACATCATTGCCTTCACTGCAACATGCAGATCATTTGCACGTACTATGCAGGACAATATGCATTCTTAGATGTGTTGCTAAAGCCATGCAAATTATATTTTGAAATATTGCCTTTATTTGTGTCATACAAAGATTTGTCAACGTTTATATCTCATAAGTCATGTATCTACAGGGTGTATAAAAAAAAACGCAATCCTCGACTGAAATGTAAATTGCTAAACAAATAATAGACGAAAACGTTAAAGTTTACATTCATTTTAAAGCGTAGCCATTCAGCTTTCTAACAGTGGGTTATTTCTTAAATTTGACTCATTGGTTCGCCGGTAATAATAATTTACGTTATTGCGATTGGAGATTAAAAAAATTGAGATGGAATAACAAATCGTTCTCGTGAAAATAACTGATTTTTTCATTAAAACAAAAAAATGTTGCATTTTATTAAATGGATTGTAACAATAAGTATAATTACGGCTTTTCTTCCACTATTTTTAACACAGTTTGAAACTTCAAATGCGATATAATTTTGGCTTGGAGCATCTAAGCTGACTGACATCAGCTTGCTATAATTTCTGTTTACATTACATCGCAATTCGATGACACTCTGGCTCAGACACCAGAATGTTTTGATTCTATGATTTTTAGCGTTCGTTTGGGATTTTCAAACAACCTGGTCTCTTTTAAAATACTTTTAATTTGTTCTTACGTGGTTTTCCAGATGTAGTGACAACAACATTAAAGTTTAAAGAAGAAAATTCTAACATTTAAACCGACTAAACAATAACATAGTAAACTTGCATAATTAAACAGCAACTAAAAATGATAGGTTTTACTAAATCTTTTCCTGTGCAATTATTACTAGCATTGGAGACAAGGATAATAGTTTGTTTGAAAGAGAAAAGAACAGGCTTTGAAGTAAGCCTAAATGCGTTTAACTAGAAATAGTATTTCGAAAGTTATTAAGCACAAAAGATGAATTGCGTTTATTTTGATACACCCTGTATATACTAAAGGCTGCTTTGCAGCTATCATTTCTTGGATATGCATGTTGGTGCATGTTTATGTATTCTTTATTTTTAATAAGTACTAAATCCCACAAGAAATTACGCATTAAATCATGTAGTTTTAGTAAATTAAAGCTGTCCTTGGCTTTGATGCTTTTGTGTACAGGGTATTTAATGTTTAAATGGACTGAAAATTCCCCACACATATGCACGTCGTATGAAAAACGCTTAACACGAAGGCAATTATAAGTGCTTATAATCCACTTATGCCATCCTTAATCAAAATTACTTGCATTATTACCATTCTCCAGTAATCAACCACCTACTCAATTGACATTACAGACTTCTTTTGATTCAGTCGTGTTAGAGTTATAAACCTCGAAAGTCGGTTTATAACTGATATATTGCCCAATATATCAGTTATAAACCGACTTTCGAGGTTTATAACTAACTTATATCTCATTTGTGGAGGTTTTCTAACATATTTTGTCATTTTCAAAAATTTTTGATGAAAAATTCTCACGTTTTGTCGAAAAGTTTGATGTAATTATTTATTCAAGGTATATCAGCTAGTTATAAACCTCGGACGATCAAAGAAAACCGACACAAATGAGATATAATTTCTATTTCATTGCCCCCATGCAAATCGGCCACTTAATCTTAATTTCAGAAATTCTGTGCAGCAGTTTGTCCTGTTTCTTTACAGAACTTTATTCATTGTTGCTATACTTTACGTAATGTTTATCAATTTTGGTTATGCCAAAATCATATTGTGCCTGCATGGAACTGTATTTATGCATTGCTATACAGCAATAACATTTCATACATTTTGGCATGCAATATTGGCGCATGTGTATATTTACGTACATTATAAATCATTATTTTGTTAATTTCGCTTCACAGTAGTGTTTATGCAGAAATCGAATATTTAGGCTTGCATGTATTAGAATAGACAGTGAGTTTAACTTTAATGCTGGTATGGGAAAGGTTTTTTGATCTCTTGAACAGTATTTACGTAAATAGTTAAATCGCGTGGAATCCAATTAAAGGAAGCGTGAGAAGATCTGTAAGTGTTATTAGCAGGTTAAGATGTGATAATTGCGTACCTGGTAATTTCTGCGTAATGAAAATCAGAAAATGGTATATAAATTATCAGCGTGTAGAAACAACCAAAATACATTTAACACATGCCGACTGTCATTGTTGGGCTCGATATTTTAACAGAGTTCGGATATTCCGCAATAGCACTATAGCATTTCTTAATATTGAAGCCTATATATTGAAATCGGAATTGCTTAAGATTCGTTTAGGGACATACAATTTGATGAAATTAAGATCGAAAATTTGAAACAGAATCAAAATTACTACGTCAAAGTCGAGTGACGAATTGTGAGAAGGTTTTAAGATTGGCTTAACTCAATTCGATCCGCCAATATTAATTTCCGACGTATATGACGGGAAGATTAAATATTAAAGGACTTCGCGAGTATTTGCAGTAGACATACGAAAATACCACCAAAAAATTCCACTTGATCGATACTATATATTCAGAAATATTGATATAATTTTATTGTTTCTCGCTCAATTTCAAGCGAATTTCTTACCTTGAAATGATCAATGCGGTGAAATTTATGCAAATGACACATTATCAATTTTGCTGTTGCATTTTGAATGTTCCGCCTGATTCAAATGCTCGTCTTTTTGCTTCTTTTCAACGTATGATGATAACAAATATACCAAAAGAATCGCCATCTTCCATTCTATAGCTCGGAGCAGTCTCGGGAAATTGCAAAATAATCTAAGCCTATTATGGCAATTCTCGTGATCGGAAAGTGTTCGGCCAACTTCGGACGCCAAATTCTTGGTAAGCATTACAGTTTCCTGGTAATACATCACTTCCGGAGTGTTTGTTTACCCTAGATACGGATTTTGATTGGCTTAGGCAGAAAAACAAATCTTTTAGAGCAATTTTCCTGATTATCGCGCACAGGAACGCACAAGCGTTGAAATGTATTATGTTGTAGTTTTGTTTGAATCGCATTCTGAAGACGTTTTTGGCTTTATTTTGCAAACTGATAGTGCTAGTAATGATGGAATGTCTTCGTATGAAGACAGGTATCTCAACTTGGCATTGGGAGTCGTGTCTGGAGTTTCAAGGCAAGTATTTGTATCATTTCTAGACAATTTCTATTTCAATGTTTTGCCATTGCCATGGCGTTGTAAATTTATTTGTATTTAGTATAGCTTCACTAGTACGACCAAGTATGTCCTCATATCGCTTTTTTGTGTTGAAATAATCGTTTCATACTGAAATTGACAAATATAAATGGTACTTATTTATATTGTTGACGAAAATTTATGGTGTTTTAGGCATAAAAATCTCTGATTCCTAGGCGAAGTAAAATGAGCCTTGAGCACATGTTTGGTTGTTTGTTACATACATAATAGCCAAGTATTCATACTTATATCTTACTAGTTGGCTTTTATTATAATTTTAAGTGGCACCATGTCTATAAAAGTTTTTATTCGCACTGATGAATATATTGATCCTGTTCCTATCTGCTGTTCCTGTTTCATAGCCTCAGGGAAGTAGAGTTCTGATGAGTCATGAGAACCCCACTCACCAACCCAGAGGGAAGGTAGGGGGATGAGCAGAGGTAGAGGGAAGCCCAGCCATTAGGACCTAAGGTTTCGAAAGCTCCCTGTCTAGCATCCCCACTAGGCCCCATAGTACATGACGGATATGATGATCCTGATGCCAGGAATGTTCTCCCAAATTTTGCTCCTCACTGACATATGTCCGGGATCCATTTCGATCAACTGTGAGCTTTAAGCCCCGTTTACACGAGCAAATTTTATTTGACAAATTTCATATGTCAAAGATATTTTGCTCGTGTGGATGATGCATTTGTGACAAATTTATTGTGACAAATGCATTTGAACAAAAGCTAGCATGCTAGCTTTTGATCAAATGCATTTGTCATATGAAATTTGTCAAATAAAATTTGCCCGTGTAAACGGGGCTTGAGTTCATTCGGCTCAATGAACTGTGAGCTTGAGTTCATTCGACTCTTTGTACTAAGGGAATGCTTCAGGAGGTAGTTTCCTGGCCATACCAATACATATGCCCACATACAAATAACTCAAAAGTTATCCCCATATACTAATAAAAAAGGGTCTTGCAGTCCACCAACCTTGAGAGGTTGATTGCCTTTTAGTATAATATGCAGGTTTGCTAAAGGTCGACAGTGAGATTGAAAATTATTGGAGTGTAAAAACCTTATATCGTGGTCTGTGGGCAATAGACATAATTTCTCGGGTTAGGTACAAAGCGCTTATGGCGTTTGTGAATATGGTAGATCCTGTACTAAAGACTACAGCAATAAACTGCATCAACAACTGTACCAGCCGTCACAGAATATTGTTGTTGCAGACAAACACACTGTCAAATCAAGAAATAGGTTGGGGGTTGGGCAGTTCATGAAAGCTAGATGACCTACTATGTGGGGAATAAATCTGTGGGTTGCTGCAGACAATCCTAATGGTTATATTGCGACTTTGAAATTTATACAGGAAGAAGTCCAGATATTCATCGCAACAGATTTGGGTATGACGTGGTGATCTGATATCAGTTTGGTTACAGTCTTTGGTCTTTTGTAGTGCAATATAAAGGAAATATTTTCACCACATAATCCAATTATGTGCTTTGGCAAACATTACTGCTTTAGCAAACATTACTGCCTTGGAAAACATTACTTTTTTATAACTACTAATTATGATGATGCCAGCCCAACAACACTTGGTCATGCTATTTGCAAATATTTTCATGTTCTAGATTGTGAAAACAATCAATTTCTAAACAAGTGAGCAGTGATTATTTCAAATTTGAATAGCATGACCAAATTTTGAGGCTGGTTATGCCACTAATAACTAAAGTCAATGGTGTAATGATTATCTAAGAATGTATGTAGTAATTGTAGAAATAAAGACATTTTGCTAATCATGATTTAAGTGTTCTTTTGTGGGTATCACAGACTTATTTTGGTGCCATACTATCTTTGGAGAGTAAGAAATATTGGAAATTTGTATTGATAACATGTTGCAGCAATAAAAAAGGACCTTTGATAAAGGTATTTGTTTCATGTGAGCACAAAATGTAAATTTTACTCCACTACCTAGTTTATATAAAAATTCAATAAAAATATTTCTATTTATGCTACATGCATGAAACTTCGGGTACTTGTAGATCATAACCGTGTCTTTCAGTCATATTCATAAAATTTTTTGACATATTTGAAATTTGAACCGCTAAATACATTTATGCATAATTGCAACATTTTTTTATATCATAATTTATGCAAATTTATGCGAGTAAATCGTTAACCAAGCTCCGGATGAAATTGAAATTGGTATCGTTGGAAAGCAGAAGTCCTCCTCTTTCGAACGATGCAATTTCTGTTTCCGTGCGATGTATAATTTGAGAGATATAAGTGTTTGAAACAACACCACTCGAAATTGCTACTTTTCGACCGGATGAGAATGAGTTAATTAAACATGAGAGACTGATACAACATTTTCTATTGAGCAACATGAGTGATTAAAATGGATTATATAGATTATTCATTGTTGACTTTGAAATAGAAATAGAAAATTATATAGATTATTCATTGTCGACTTTGACGTAGTAATTTCGATTCTGTTTCAAATTTTTTATCTTAATTTCATCAAATTGTATATCCCTAAACGAATCTTAATTAATTCCGATCTCAATATATAGGCTTCAATATTAAGAAATGCTATAGTACTATTACGGAATATCCGAACTCTGTTAAAATATCGAGCCCAACAATGACAGTCGGCATGTGTTAAATGTATTTTGGTTGTTTCTACACGCTGATATATACCATTTTCTGATTTTCATTACGCAGAAATTAACAGGTACGCAATTATCACATCTTAACCTGCCAATAACACTTACAGATCTTCTCACACTTCCTTTAATTGGATTACACGCGATTTAACTATTTACGTAAATACTGTTCAAGAGATCAAAAACCTTTCCCATACCAGCATTAAAGTTAAACTCACTGTCTATATTCTAATACATGCAAGCCTAAATATTCGATTTCTGCATAAACACTACTGTGAAGCGAAATTAACAAAATAATGATTTATAATGTACGTAAATATACATGTGCGCCAATACTGCATGCCAAAATGTATGAAATGTTATTGCTGTATAGCAATGCATAAATACAGTTCCAGGCACAATATGATTTGGGCATAACCAAAATTGATAAACATTACGTAAAGTATAGCAACAATGAATAAAGTTCTGTAAAGAAACAGGACAAACTGCTGCACAGAATTTCTGAAATTAAGATCAAGTGGCCGATTTGCATGGGGGCATCACATAGAAATTATATAGATTATTCATTGTTGATCACCTAAATTCCCTTCATGCTTGTTGTATGCAATGAATACCATGATTTTAGTCTGCGTGCAGCAACACTCAACAGGAACAGAAAACAATGGCACAAAACAACATATTTATAGCTCGCCTATATACACAGTAAATCTTTAACAGCAAATTAACTTCATATAGTAATCCAATATATAGCTTAAATAGATCGTATAGCAATATAGTGACAATTGAGAACATTCGCTCAAAAAGTAACGAGTTTTTGTTGGCTTCATAAAACGAGACCATTTAATCCAAGAACTGTGATATATCACGCTTTACATAACATATATTATCAAAATATTGATTGGGAACTCACTAAGTACAATCGGAATCCTCAGCTTGAAGGAGCTTATACCATGCTTTCCTTAACTTTATTTAGTATATTGTTTTTGCACTATAATATTTGTCATGCAATTTCGGTGCTTTTGGAACCAAATTTCCTTAAGTTGTGCCAAATGCCATTAATGGCATTTGGCACAACGTAAACAAATTTGGTTCTAAAAGGATCCAAATTTACAAATATTAGCGTAATACCACCGCTAGATAAAGTTCTTAAAGGCAACAGTAAGATCCCACTGATCCCACTCAGATTCATCATCAATTATTCCATGGCATTTGGCACAATAAAACTAAATAACATATATAATTGTTTGTATTGCTACCTCAATCTTACTAAATTGTTGCCACAGAAAGAAATCAGTAATAGCTATAATCCAAACAATGGCAAATTAAAACTTGCTTTGCCTAAAAAAACTGGTTAATTAAGGACCTATTAAAATCCTCATTGGCATTTGGCACAACAGAATCAAACTTAGTTCAAATGGCATTTGGCACAATTGGACTAACTAACCGATCATTATTTGTTTTTTAATCTCAGTATTGCCAAGCGTGAAGAGCACATGTTTATACGCAAACAAATTTGGTTCGAAATGAATCGAAATTGACAAGTATTTGATGCAACAATCAAACTACACCCCTTGGGAAATGCCTTGGCCCCCTTTTGGAGAGATCCAATCGACTTATGCATGCAAGTAGTCAAAAGACTCCACCTCGATTTGTATCCATTATTTACCCAATTTGGAGTCAATACTGGACGAGTTAAGATAATATTAATAGAAACGTATGGTTTTATTTATCAGTCAAATCCAGCAATGCCCATCCCCCCGGGCCATCCACGTGCCTTCGCAGTTTTCCTATTCCTGGGGGTGGGGCTATTGCCGAAATTTTTCAGCCCGGGGGTGGGCACTTACGCCCGTATTCTAAAAGCTCACTCGCACTTACACTCAATGAGTGCAGGTTCAATTGGAGCTTTTCTCAAGTGTCATTTCTGTTTTTGAATAGCTGGAGGGTTAGTGCCGTCCCGTACCATGTGATTACTCACCCTCCAGCTATTCAAAAACAGCATTGACACTCAAGGGAAGCTCTGATTTAACCTTTACTCATTCAGTGTGAATGTGAGTGAGCTTTTAGAATACGGGCGTTAGACATTTAACATTTTCCATCATGGCGATTAGCGGACTGTATAACATGGCAGATTTCACTTGGAAAAGATGCTGAATTCGTTTGCAAATGGCTTGATACTCATTCTTTGGGATGGTTTTTCGGTACCGGCATTGTCTTTGATCATTGATGAGTAATATCCTTTGTCTACATGAAATAGTTTTTCTCCTTCAATGGACAATGATCACTATAAAAAATGATCTATGATTGCACCAGACCCGGACGCAAGTCGAAAATGCGACACGATTTTTTAGTTTTCGAAAGTTAATAAAACAGTCAATGAGAGCAAATTTTAAAAGATATGTAGACCAAATAACTCAAAATGCTATAACGCTTCTAAATATTTAGAAAGCTTAAATTAGGATCAAAGGTTATATCGGTCAGTTAATTAAAATCGAAAAATCGCGTTGCGTTGCCGAACTCGCGTCCGAACCTTTAAGTAAAGACAATATTTTCAAAGGTTGATATTAATATTATCATAGGTCTAGCTAGATGCGCTGAAGTTAGGGTTGAGAATTTATACAATGTTGCATTGATGTAGAAATTCATTTTTGTACTTTGCATTTATTTTCAATTCTAACGTGCATGCATGCAAATCAACATGTACTAAACAGTTAATATTATTGCCCGGGGGTGGGGATATAAACCCAATTTGTTTGCCCAGGGGTGGGGCTTTAGCACAGTTCTTCTTTCCCTGGGGTGGGGACATAGCCATTTTCTTTCCAGAAATGGCGAATTCCCCGGGGGTGGCCCGGAGGAGGGGATGGGCACCGCTGGAATTGACTGATACATTACTTGCAGTGTTGTGCTAACTGCGTCACAGAGTACATGAAAATTATAATAGCGAGGAATTTTACGAAAGTATTTTTAGTCTTTCAGCTAATATAGCTCAACCATTATATCTTGGAATGGCGAAAGAAACATATTTAGCTCGCCTATAATCTATATATCACAGTATTTATCTCTAACCAAGGGCGGATTTTCATTTTTTTTAAAGGAGGGGTAAAAAAATTTCTGGTGGGGTGCAAGCGGCACCACTGAGCAAGCTTCGGCAGGGTTTAGGCGTTAAGGTTAAAGACTTTCACACTAAATAGGATGGGTGAAGCAACATTTTGGTGGGGTTGAACACTTTATAAGAGGGGTTAGAGAGATTCTAGGAGGGGTTTAACCCCCCTAACCCCCCAGTAAATCCGCCCATGACTCTAACACCAAACCTCATAGAATGAAAACAGTAATGTAATCCATATAGCTTATTAAATAGATCGTACATAATTCTAGTGGCAATTGAGATCATTTTCTTAGAAAGTAAGTCATTTTTATTGGCTTCATAAAATGAGAACATTTAATGAATAACTATGATATATCAGGTTTTATATAAAATATATCATCATAATCTTGCTTGGGAACTCACTATACTATCCTTAAGGGTTTCTAAGTGGAAAATGTTTATACATTCCACAGAAAGCCTGATTTGTTACTTGTTTTTTGCATTATAAGTGCTTCAATTGCATTGAATCACAAAATAATAATTAACTATACGGCAATGCTCACCCACTATAAAATACACAGTTTGGAAATACAAGATTTTGGTAATGCCAGCTACGTTGGAACTAAATAACGAAGAACGTATTGAAGAACGAATTGTTTCATGGGAATATTAACATGATTTTTTGTGTAATTGGGGGCAAACTCTGAAGAGATCACCCAGTGCAAAAATTAAAGTTGCGACAGCCAGCAGGAAAATGATGTCGAATATGATGACATGGCTCATTTGGTAGGCGAGACCATCTAATTGATATGAGTCAAGTGGCTTATATATACTTGAAAATTTCTTCCAATTGTTAGGGTACACACACATCGTGCTAAATAAATTTCGCTGCTTTTTCACCATGAAAG